AGCTGCAAAAAAAAAAAAAAAAAAAAAAAAAAAAAAAAAAAAAAAAAAAACAGAAGTAGCGTAGCATTGCAATAAGAAAAGATTCAACTTTTTGTGAAACCCATCATTACACCTCAACACCCAATGTTAACAGCAGCTTAATCGATCAAGTTTAAAAGAGGCAATATTAGAAAAAAATGAGACTAACAAAGAGTTAATGGTTTTTTCAAAAAACAAAATCCAACAAATTTGAATGCACAAAATGAAGAAAACTTAGCTAAAATGGCTTCTTACTAGCTAAAATCCAATTATCCGTGTTGTTTCAAGAGGAACGATCTGATGTTGCAGGAAATCAGATCAAGGGAAAGAGCAGCAGGTAGTGAACCGCTGCTTCGAAGAAAAAAGACATTTTCCGGTCCAAAGTTAGACCGACCGCCGATCAAGTTTGCATTTTTTTCATAATTTTGTTTAAATTATATTTGTATTATATTATACTTTAAACATAATTACTCATATAAAGAATTCACAATCAATTAAGATGTAATTATTTTCATAAGTCTCAATTTCAAATTAGTTCGATCTAACTATATGAATAATCCCTTACCACATTACAATATTAAATATTTCCACTTCTAAATTAAAAATTGAGTATTACAAAATTAGATGTCTTCTAAATATGACACTATTCGAAAGTTATTTAGTTCATATAACTTTTACGAAAAAAATTACTAAAATAAATTGCATAGTAAATATATAAATAATATACAAAAAGTTTTTGTAAGGCCACTTTCACTAGCAAAATTGTAAGTGAGCATACGAGATATCTTTATCTTTAAATTGCGTACGAGGCATTCAAGGTAGTCATTTTTTACGGGTCCATCTCATTCAATAGCCAAAGTAATAGGTATGTGCCTAAGGCAATTATTTTTTGGTTTGGTAGCCAACTTTGTTGAATTTTTTTGATTTGGTAGCCAACTTTGTTGAATTTTTTTGGTTTGGTAGCCAACTTTGTTGAATTTTTTTGATTTGGTAGCCAACTTTGTTGAATTTTTTTGGTTTGGTAGCCAACTTTGTTGAATTTTTTTGATTTGGTAGCCAACTTTGTTGAATTTTTTTGGTTTGGTAGCCAACTTTGTTGAATTATCAACATTGCAGAAAAAAGAAGAAAAGTGTGTGCTAATTGTCAAATATAATAGGTTTTAGAGAGTGAGACTTAGGCTATAAAAGGAGAGCTTCAACTCTTATTTCTACACACTAACAAAGAGAGAAAGAAAGAGTGAGGTTTCACAGATAAGATATAAGAAAATAGTCTGTGAGAAAAATAGAGAGTGAGCGATATTGTAGCGAAGTGGGAATATCAAAAGAGGGTTATTTTTTTTAGTGTTATAGTGGTCTTTGAAGTATTTGACTCGGACCTACAAAGTGTAAAATTTCTTGCTATAGTGATATCAGTTGCTCGTCTCGGGGCAGTGATTTTTTTCCTTATTTTAAAAAGTTTTCCACGTAAAAATCTTGGTGTCGTAGTCACTCCTTTATTCTTGTTAATTTCCATATCTCGGTGCTAAGTTATTATTCCGTTTTTATTACTATGAATATTATTTCTATAGGGGGCTTATTCCCAACAACTGGTATCAGAGCACAGGTTCTACTAGTTCACAGAAATACTATTCACTGTCGGTAGTACTATACTTGGTAAAAAATAAAAATGTCCGGAGTAAAGTACGAGGTAGCAAAATTTAACGGAGATAGCAGTTTCTCAACATGGCAAAGAAGGATGAGGGATCTGCTCATCCAACAAGGACTACACAAGGTACTAGATGTTGATGCCAAAAAATCTGATACCATGAAAGCTAAGGATTGGGCTGACTTGGATGAAAGGGCTGCTAGTGCAGTCAGGTTGCACTTATCAGATGATGTGGTAAATAACATCATTGATGAAGACACCGCATGTGACATTTGGACAAGGTTGGAAAGCATATACATGTCCAAAATGCTGACAAATAAATTGTACTTGAAGAAGCAGCTATACGCCCTACACATGGGTGAAGGTATGATTTTTTTGTCACATTTAAATGTGTTTAACGGACTAATCACACAGCTCGCCAATCTCGGAGTGAAAATTGAGGAAGAAGATAAAGTCATCTTGTTGTTGAACTCATTGCCATCTTCGTACGATAATTTGACAACAACCATCCTGCACGATAAGACTACCATTGAATTGAAAGATGTCACATCGGCTATTCTACTCAATGAGAAGATGAGAAAGAAGCCTGAAAATCAAGGACAGGCTCTCATCACAGAAGGTAGAGGCAGGAGTTACCAAAGAAGTTCGAGAAACTATGGTAGATCCGGAGCTCGTGGGAAGTCTAAGAACCGATCCAAATCAAGAGCCAGAAATTGCTATAATTGTGATCAACCAGGTCACTTCAAAAGAGATTGCCCAAATCCAAGGAAGGGCAAAGGTGAAAGCAGTGGCCAGAAGAATGACGACAACACAACAGCCATGGTGCAAAACAATAATAATGTTGTCCTCTTTATAAATGAGGATGGGGAATGCATGTACTTGTCAGGTCTAGAGTCAGAATGGGTGGTTGATACACCAACATCTTACCATGTCACACCGGTAAGAGATCTTTTTTGTAGATATGTAGCAGGTGATTTCGGCACTGTGAGAATTGGTAACACAAGTTACTCAAAGATTGCGGGGATCTGTGACATTTGTATCAAGACAAATGTCGGATGCACATTGGTTCTAAAGGACGTGCGGCACGACCTGATTTGCGGATGAACTTGATCTCGAAAATTGCTTTAGACCGAGATGGATACGAGAACTATTTTGCAAATCAAAAGTGGAGACTCACCAAGGGATCATTGGTGATTGCAAAGGGAGTTGCTCGTGGTACGTTGTACAGGACAAATACAGAAATATGCCAAGGTGAATTGAACGCGGCACAAGATGTGAATTCTGTTTGTGAAACAAATGAATGGGTCATATGAGCGAGAAGGGATTGCAGATTCTAGCCAAGAAATCACTCATTTCTTATGCCAAAGGTACAACGGTAAAACCTTGTGACTACTGTTTATTTGGTAAACAACATAGAGTCTCATTTCAGACATCGTCTGAAAGAAAATTGAATATACTTGATTTGGTATATTGTAATATTTGTGGTCCAATAAAAATTAAATCAATGGGCGGTAACAAATATTTTGTTACTTTTATTGATGATGCTTCACGAAAATTATGGGTTTATATTTTGAAAATCAAAGATCAGGTGTTTCAAGTTTTCTAGAAGTTTCATGCTATGGTGGAAAGGGAGACAGGCCAAAAGCTAAAGCGTCTCCGAAGTGACAATGGAGGTGAGTACACTTCAAGGGAATTTGAAGAGTATTGTTCGAGCCATGGGATCAGACATAAAAAGACAGTTTCTGGAACCCCACAACACAATGGCGTAGCCGAAAGGATGAATCGCGCAATTGTGGAGAAGGTGAGAAACATGCTTAGAATGGCTAAACTACCTAAGTCATTCTGGGATGAAGCAGTTCAGACAGCCTGTTACCTGATTAATAGGAGTCCATCAGTTCTGTTGGCCTTTGACATCCCAGAGAGAGTTTGGACCAACAAGGAGGTGTCTTACTCGCATTTGAAGGTATTCGGTTACAGAGCTTTTGCACATGTACCAAAGGAGAAGAGAAAAAAGCTGGATGATAAATTTGTTCCCTGCATAGTCATCAGATATGGAGATGAAGAGTTCGGATACAGATTGTGGGATCCTGTAAAGAAGAAGGTCATCAGAAGCAGAGATGTAGTCTTCCAAGAAAGTGAAATTGGAACTGCTGATGATATGTCAGAGAAGGCCAAGAATGGTATAATTCCCAACCTTGTTAATATTCCTTCTACTTCTAACAATCCCACAAATGTAGAAAGTAGGATCGACGAGGTTGCCGAGAAGGGGGAGCAACCTGTGAGGTTATTGAGCAGTGGGAGCAACTTGATGATTATGTCGAGCAAGGGGAGTACCCCACTCAGGAAGAAGAACAACCTTAACCTTTGAGGAGATCAGAGAGGCCAAGGGTAGAGTCATGCAAGTACCCTTCCACAAAGTATGTCCTCATTAGTGATGAAGGGGAGCTAGAAAGTCTTAAGGAGGTGCTGTCTCATACAGAAAAGAACCCGTGGATGAAAGACATGCAAGAAGAGATGGAATCTCTACAAAAAAATAGCACGTACAAGTTAGTTGAACTTCCAAAGGGAAAAAGACCACTCAAATGCAAATAGGTCTTTAAACTCAAGAAAGATGGAAATGACAAGCTTGTTAGATACAAAGCTCGATTGGTGGTAAAAGGCTTCGAGCAGAAAAAAGGTATTGATTTTGACGAAATTTTCTCACATGTTGTCAAAATGACTTCTATTCGAACAATCTTGAGCTTAACAGCTAGCTAGATCTTGAAGTGGAGCAGTTGGATATGAAAACTGCATTTCTTCACGGAGATTTGAAAGAGGAGATCTATATGGAGCAACCAGGAGAATTTGAAGTAGTTAAAAGAAAACACATGGCATGCAAACTGAATAAGAGTCGTTATGGGTAGAATCATGCACCAAGGCAGTGGTACAAGAAGTTTGACTCATTCATGAAAAGTCAAACTTACACAAAGACATATTCTGATCCATGTGTATACTTCAAAAGATTTTTTGAGAATAACTTTATTATATTGTTGTTGTATGTGGATGACATGTTAATTGTAGAAAAAGACAAAGGGCTGATCGCAAAGTTGAAGGGAGATTTGTCCAAGTCATTTGATATGAAGGACTTGGGCCTAGCACAACAAATTCTAGGTATGAAAATAGTTCGAGAGCGAACAAGCAGAAAGTTGTGGCTGTCTCAGGAGAAGTACATTGAATGTATACTAGAACACTTCAACATGAAGAATGCTAAGCCAGTCAGCACACCTCTTGCTACTCATCTAAAGTTGAGCAAGAAGATGTGCCCTACAACAGTGGAGGAGAAAGGGAATATGGCTAGAGTTCCTTATTCTTTAGCAGACGGAAGCTTGATGTATGCAATGGTATGCACCAGACCTGATATTGCTCATACAGTTGGAGTTATTAGCAGATTCCTTGAAAAATCTGGAAAAGAACACTAGGAAGCAGTCAAGTGGATACTCAAGTACCCGAGAGGTACCATGGGAGATTGTTTGAGCTTTGGAGGATCTGATCCAATCTTGAAGGGCTATACAGATATTGATATGGCAGGTGACATTGATAACAGAAGATCCACTACTGGATATTTGTTCATATTTTCAGGGGGGGGCTATATCATGGCAGTCGAAGTTACAGAAGTGTGTCGCACTCTCTACAACTAAAGCGGAGTATATTGCTGCCACTGAAGCTGGTAAGGAGATGATATGGTTGAAACGGTTCCTTCAAGAGCTTGGATTGCATCAGAAGGA